TACATAGTTATGATCAATTACCGAGAATTACATGCATTCATGAACCCACCCGCGATCAGTAATCTAAGGCAAAATGGCGGCCATTATTAAAATACACTGATTAGCAACTGATTTCAAAATACAAATACTACAAAATCAGAGATATGGGTTCACTTAAAAAACACCCGAAGCAATAGAAAACATATAAATAAACAATTTGGTTTAGTCCGTATGTCAAAATAATCTATTTATTAGCAAGTAAAGTAGATCTCGATGGCGGGTGTGAAGCCATAAAATAATTCAAGTTGGCAACGCTGTATGTTTACTATAAACTTTCGCATTCTGCGACATTTCTCTGGTATTCGACAAAACAAACATAATCATATTTAAACATAAGTTTAGCAAAGATCACTTACTTTGAAATCCGGACAATGTAACGGTAGAGATAGCCCAAAATATGTTACTTCTGAACGGCAATCAATTTCTTCGATGTTTGAAGCGGCGGTGTTTTTTTACCCAAATCACGTAAATTCTCACGCTTTCTCGTAGTTTCTCGCAACATCAAGTGCACGGCACATATTTCCTATGCCGAAGAGGCAGTTGCCTTTCCCTCTATTCTAATTCCGTGATCATAGTGATTATATTGAGGGTGTGGATCTCATCCCTCCCAAACAACACTTAGATACTGTGGTCAATGGTTTTGGCGATATGTTTCTGGATTTCTGCACATATTGTAGTGTAAGGAAAGTAAAGGTGCGGTGGGATATGAGAAGAGTAAGGTAACACAGAAAAAAATAAGATGATTGGTATTACTTCCATCGTGTAACTGAGAAAGAGGTAGGCAGGTACATAAAATAAATAATTTTCATATGTATGCATTTAGGTTTTAAACGCTAATTAACTACTGGAGTACGCGTACTACAAAGGCATAGGATGGCTGAGCATTACGGTTTCAATAGTATTTTTTACGGGAAGAAAACTCATAATACCCGAAATCGAGTGATGGACATGTGCATATAGTCGTAACACCT